CCCGTGTTTGAGCTTAAACCATTACCTGATACACTTAAATATGCTTATCTCGTTGAAAAGAAGATATATCCTGTTATTATTAGTGCTAACCTTTCAGAGCAGGAAGAGGAAAGATTATTGAAAACTCTAAAGAAGCATCGTGCTGCTATTGGATATACTCTTGATGATCTTAAGGGCATTAGTCCCACTCTATGCCAACACAAATAAAATTGGAGGAAGAAGCCAAACCAGTTATTGATCACCAACGACGGTTAAATCCTAAGATGAAAGAAGTGGTAAGAAAGGAAATACTAAAGCTCCTTGAGGCAGGTATAATTTATCCCGTTGCTGATAGTTAGTGGGTAAGTCCTGTCCATTGTGTCCCTAAGAAGGGAGGTATTACTGTCGTTCCTAATGATAAAGATGAATTGATCCCAAAAATAATTATTACAGGTTATAGGAAGGTAATTGATTTCTGTAAGTTAAATAAAGCTACTAAAAAAGATCATTACCCTTTAACTTTTATTGATCAAATGCTAGAAAGACTATCCAAACATACACATTTTTGCTTTCTAGATGGTTATTCTAGTTTCTCTCAAATACCTGTGTCAGCAGATGATCAAGAAAAGACCACTTTTACTTGCCCTTTCGGTACTTCTGCTTATAGAGGCATGCCTTTTGGTTTATGTAATGCACCTGCTACCTTTCAAAGATGCATGATGGCTATATTCTCTGACTTTTGTGAAAAGATTTGTGAGGTATTCATGGATGATTTCTCCGTTTATGAATCCTCTTTTGATGATTGTTTAAGCAACCTTGAACGAGTTTTGCAGAGATGCGAAGATACTAGTCTTGTTTTGAATTGGGAGAAGTGCCACTTTATGGTTAATGAAGGCATTGTCTTGGGGCATAAAATTTCTGAAAGAGGTACTGAAGTTGATAAAGCTAAGGTTGATGCTATTGAAAAGATGCCGTGTCCCAAGGACATTAAAGGTATAAGAAGTTTCCTTGGTCACGCCGGTTTTTATAGGAGGTTCATTAAGGACTTTTCTAAAATTTCTAGGCCTCTGACTAATCTATTACAAAAAGATATTCCTTTTGTCTTCGATGATGATTGTGTAGAAGCATTTGAAATACTTAAGAAAGCTTTAATTTCTGCACCTATTGTTCAGCCGCCTGATTGGAATTTACCCTTTGAAATTATGTGTGATGCGAGCGATTATGCTGTAGGTGCTGTTCTAGGACAAAGAGTCGATAAGAACTAAATGTTATTCAATATGCTAGTAAAACTCTAGATACTGCCCAGAGAAATTATGCTACTACTGAAAAAGAATTTTTAGCAGTTGTATTTACTGTGATAAGTTCAGACCTTATATTGTTGATTCTAAAGTAACTATTCACACTGATCATGTTGCTATTAAATATATTATGGAAAATAAAGATGCTAAACCGAGACTTATTAGATGGGTTCTCCTACTACAAGAATTTGATTTGCATATTATTGATAGAAAGAAAGCTGAGAACCCCGTTGTAGATAACTTATCTAGGTTAGAGAATGTTCTTGATGATTCACTACCTATTAATGATAGCTTTCCTGATGAACAATTAGCTATCATAAATACTTCTCGTACTGCTCCGTGGTATGCTGATTATGCTAATTACATTGTTGCTAAATTCATACCACCTAGTTTCACATACCAGCAAAAGAAAAGGTGTTTCTATGATTTAAGACATTACTTCTGGGATGACCCACACCTTTATAAAAAAGGAGTAGATGGTGTTATTAGACGTTGTGTACCTGAGCATGAATAGGAACAGATCCTACGCAAGTGTCACTCCGAGGCATATGGAGGACACCATGCTGGAGATAGAACTGCACACAAGGTACTGCAATCCGGTTTCTATTGGCCTACTCTCTTCAAAGATGCCTGTAAGTTTGTCTTGTCTTGTGATGAATGTCAAAGAATTGGTAATATTAGTAGACGTCAAGAAATGCATATGAATTATTCTCTTGTTATTGAACCATTTGATGTTTGGGGCTTTGACTATATGGGACCGTTTCCTGCCTCTAATGGGTATACACATATTTTAGTTGCTGTTGATTACGTTACTAAGTGGGTAGAAGATATTCCAACTAGTAGTGTTGATCATAACACCTCTATTAAGATGCTTAAAGAAGTTATTTTTCCAAGGTTTGGAGTCCCTAGATACTTAATGACTGATGGTGGTTCATATTTTATTCATGGTGCTTTTCGTAAAATGCTTGCTAAGTATGATGTTAATCATAGAATTGCATCTCCATATCACCCACAGTCTAGTGGTCAAGTAGAATTGAGTAACAAAGAGCTCAAATTAATTTTGCAAAAGACTGTTAATAGATCTAGAAAGAATTGGTCCAAGAAACTTGATGATGCATTATGGGCTTATAGAACTGCATATAGGAATCATATGGGTATGTCTCCATATAAAATGGTTTATGGAAAAGCATGTCACTTACCTCTCGAACTAGAACATAAGGCATATTGGGCCATTAAAGAGCTCAATTATGATTTCAAACTTGCCGGTGAGAAGAGGTTGTTTGACATTAGCTCACTTGATGAACGGAGAAGCCAAGCCTATGAGAATGCCAAACTGTTTAAAGAAAAAGTTAAAAGATGGCATGACAAAAGGAACAAAAGCGTGAGTTTAACGTAAGTGATTATGTGTTCCTTTTCAACTCTCGTTTAAGATTTTTTGCAAGAAAACTTCTCTCTAAATGGGAAGGCCCTTATGTCATCGAGGAGGTCTATCGTTCTGGTGCCATAAAAATCAATAACTTCGAAGACACAAATCCGAAGGTGGTGAACGGTCAAAGAATCAAACATTATATCTCATAGTAGTATAACATTTATTTATGATACGATGTCATGATATGATACTCAACGCTCTCTTTCTTCATTTAATTCTGTGCCACCTCATCAAAATTGGCTAGTTGACATGCATGATAATATCTATGATACTCCCATTATGACCAGCCTTATTAATGCTCGACTCGGTTATTGACTTTCACTCGCATCCATATATAAATTGATGAGATTGTGCGCAAAGAACAGAGGTGGTACTGTAGACACAAAACTTCGTTTCTTTGCACAAGTGCGAGCTAGGTCAATTGGACGTCCGTAAGAAAACCAAGCGAGAGGTTGTGAGTGAGACTTCCTCCTTGGCGCCTTCGGCGCCGGTTGGCGAACGTAGCGCGCGCTGCATTGCTTGCCCGGGCCAGGCCCAACAATGCTTGCTGGCCCCAGCCGCTCGCTCGCTAGCCACCCGCATCGCTGGCTCCAGCTCAATCGCTTGTTTCTTTCTCTTTTTCTCTCCAAAAATTGCTAGAGTATGTACTGATTTTTTAGGCAAAACCAACCGGTTTGCTATAGTATGTACTCTTGTTATGAGGAAAAAGTTCATCGATTTTGGGGAAAAATCATTGAATTAAATAAAAGTTCATCGAATTTGAAAAAAAAAGTTAATCGAATTTGAAAAAAGTTCATCAAATTTGAAAAAAAAGTTCAATTCAAAAAAAGTTCATTGAATTCAAAAAAAGGTTCATCGAATTCAAAAAAAAGTTCATGTAATTTGGAAAAAGTTCATCGAATTCAAAAAAAGTTCATCAAATTTTAAAAAAATTCACTGAATATGGAAAATGTTTATTGAATTTGAAAAAAGTTCGTCCATTTGTAGAAAAGAAAAAAAAACTTGAATTTGAAAAAGGGAAAAAGGAAGAGAAAAAGAAGAAAGGAAAAAAAAGATGCAACTTATCACACATAACTATAGGTGGCGCGTTGGTTATTGTTGCCTCCCTCAATGCAACTTATCACACATAAACGGGAGGTGTGCGCCCGTTTGCAAGAACAGGTGTATCAGGCACTGAAGGCGCCAAATAGGATTTAGCTTTGTGAGTTTGATACCTCGCTGCTGCAACTATTTTTGCCGATTCTTTGCTGGGCCACAAGGCAGGCTACTGATTGACGGCCTGAGGCCCAAGCGGGCCCATGTGCACGACACAGAGAGAGAGAAAAAAAATGTCCGAACCATTTTCTTATCGACTTACTGATAGAGTGCTGGTTTGTACTAAAAAATATCGAGATTTATTCTGTAAAATACACATGGTGGACGAGAATAGATATTTATTAGTAGGTAGGTAAATAGATAAGCGATGAATCTCTTAACAACAAATCTCTCACAACTTCTTTAGAAATATGTAATTAGTAGAAATAATATAGTAGAGTTAAGATTAAGATTTCGACTCCGCACCGGTTGCACGAACCCCCAAAAAAATCATTCATGGACGATGATGGGTCCTTGAGTCGCTCACAGTGAAGAAGCAAGTGATAAATGAGTAGTATACAGGAGTCACCGCTGTTGATACAGAAGCAAAAGGTGTCGTCGCCATCGTTGATTAGATGTCACTGCTGTTGGTACAGGACTAGCAGCCGGGCCCATAGTCGACAAGGAGGGCGAACCGTAGGTAGTTCCTTTCGTATTCGAAGATTTTAAAGAGGCGCGTTGTTTCTCTGTTTTTGCCTAGATTGTCATCATTTTGGCAAGGGCGGAGATAATGCGAGGACGCCAAACTAGTACCGAAGGCTGAAGAGCACTCCAAGCTGCAAAGTGGGGAACACAGTGTGCATTTCAGAAGCGCTGGCGATTTGTCTGACGAGCGGAGAAGCCACAAATATTTTCACAGCTCCGCGTCTGATCTGTACAACTATTTCCTTTGAGAATATACAACAAATGCACATCAAAACGAACATACAAAGAGCCACGAAGTGGCGAAATGGGGAACTGGCTAATCTACAACCCGTGACATAGAAAGCATGCCTAAAGGCCGGGCCTACAAACAAATTGCCTCCAACTCTATGCCCAAAGTGTGGTGAATTGTAATGGAAGAAGGATGCACAGGATTTCTGCAAATGGCAGACGTCCTCGATGCACCGCAAGGAACAACATAGCCTGACCAACGTGTCTTGATTTTGTCTCAGTGCATTTCATGTTATGACCACTTCTAATGATTCTTGTGAGGCCGGTCTGTTACCTCTACCCCCACTACGATCACGATGCATAGGAAGTATCCAATGCGGTGATCGACTGGCAGAGCTCTCAGGGTGGCCAAATAATTGAGGGAGGCTACGGGCAGGAGAAGCACTGGCTTTTCCACCCGGTAAGTCCAACGAGATTCGGCATATTGGGCAGGTCGTTTGCTTCTCTAACCATATATCTATACAGGAAAGATGAAAATTATGTCGGCATGTGGGCATTATACGCAGGATCTCTTTCTCGTCGTATTCACCCAAACATATGGAGCACCTGCAAAAGAAAGAAAAATAAAGAAATCTGTTACTTGTTTGATTCGGAAGTCCGATAATAGTATGTGAGCGTTCTATACCCATATCGCAGCATACATAAAGAACCATCATCAAGCGGGAACAGAATCCCGATTATCACTTGAGTATAATACTGTTTAGTTGCAAATGATATGGACAAGAAATGAAGAAAAACATATGTCATTTTCTATTATTCTTTTCACCAAATAAATTCTTGAACTGAACTTTAAAGAATTAAGAATATGACAATAAAGAATGCTACTTATGCCTATCTAGTACATAATGCAAGCTAAGTACACATATATGTAAATAATCATGATAATATACTTACCAATCTGAGGATGGTATAATTTAATCCATTTAAGAGTTTCATTACTGAGATGTCACAAAGGGTCATGTTGGATTAATATCGGTGGACTCATGTTCAGGCTTTTCTCATTTCCTTTCCGCAGTTGAAAACAACGAAAAGAAGAACAAGGAACAGCTCTTGTAATTCTTATCTCAGAAACATAATAGTACTAATCCATATTACGCTTAACAGCTTATAAATGTCAACTAAAATAGCTAGCCCAGAGAGGTGCATTTTTATTCAGCTGTAGCATTTCAGTTTCTAACTGAAGCCCCTTGACCAGCTGTCTAGGCTACATGCTTCACAACTCATAACTCACCTAATATCAAATATTAGTAATATTCGAAGGTTCGAGCATTGGATCATCACAAATTAACAATGTTTTCCAGTTGTATGGCGCATCTATTACACATTGTGTTTCTCTGCACGCTAATTGACACCAAATGCTTTGAGGGAACAAAAAAAGATAAACAGGAGCAGAAAAAATTGCAACAAGTTAACTCTAGAACATATGGTGTACTTACTGGGCATCATCTTTTGAATGGAAGGCTTCAGAGCTATACGTTATTGTTGGAATTGCAGCAACAACGAAAGGTTCCAATCCACTGCAGGTGTTCTGAATCTGTTGAACAAAGGAAAATGAAGTGTGTCAAGTTCAAAATTATCAGATAACTGTGAGTATACTAACTCATACTATTACAAAGCCCAAACATAATTTCCATGATTAGTATAGAATATTTAATTGAAAGCCCTCTAAGGAACATGAGGATCATCTTACTCTCTAAGAGTGCCTGCATGATTAGAACTTAAATGGTTTTAGTCTGCCAAAGAATGGTATGCTCGACTGATTACATAAGTTATGAATCAACTAGAATAAATTCCTCAGCTATATATAATTGTAGAGGAATATGTTATTATCAGTTTTCTCTAATTATCAGGCATCGAACTATGGACGAAAATGTGGGAAGGGGCATAATGTGCTCCATGCATACCATTGCGAGGAATTTTGGCAATGCAAAATTAAACTCACCATAACTTCTACTGAGGAGGAATTAGAGCAACATAGCAAAATAGATATAATGTTTTGAATTTTCATGATAGGCGTATAAAAACGTTGTGCATCAGCCATCAATAGGTTCTTGAAAGGCAAATCTTTGCATTTGTGTACAGTCATTTCAACTGGAAAGTTAGCCTGAGTGCATAACTGTAAAGGTTGATATTCCAAAGGACACCATGCTGGCAAGAATCCGATTCTAACTTCTCTCAAGCAATTCAGAATACACTTTATATACAACACATTCAGAGTAGAGAAGTTCAATCACCTGTCGACCAACCTATCTAGACGTATATAAGAAACTGATGTCTGAAACCAATCAGACATAAAAGCAAACCATTTCAGACATTTTAATATTGAGGGGGTAATATTGTCCATAGTTCAGATTAACATTGCAAATGACCATTCCATGGAAATGGTAGTAAATAATTTTGTAGTTCTTGGTTTTGATCTTTCCCTCTTTTTGGCAAGACCATAGTTTGATCACTTTGTAATAAGTGATGTAATAATTATGGCTGTATGCATCATATAATGCAAAGGCCAGGGGTAATAAAAGGTAAAAGCTTCCATTATATAAATAATAATAATAATAATAATAATTTTGTAATACTATTGGACTGATAATGACTGCATAATTTTTTTTAAAAAAAACAATGTATTTTCTTCAAAAATTTCCGGAGTTAATGTGCTTAGTCAAGTTAGTGAGCTTGCAACTTCATGTAAGAAGGACGGGACCCCTCTCTCGCGAC